TTTTTTTGTTTGTTTGTTTGTTTGTTTTTTTGTCCCATCTAGTACTGACAAAATAGGAGCTACAAAGGAATCAGGACAAGTGTAAAAAGGGGTCAAACTCACAGTGAACTTAAATTCCAAAATACAAACTGTTTTTCTGAAAGAAAATAGTCTCCATTTGCCAAATACTTATTTAATGTTTAATAAGTGCCTGACACTCTACCAGACAGTGTAGAAGATAAAACCAAGACATGTTCCCAACTTTAAAAAAAAAAAAAATTAATAATGTTGTTAAATGTTGTAGAGTTAGTTCTGAGTCATAGTAACCATGTATAGCTTTGCCGAGAGCAGCCGATGGGTTTGAACTGGTGACCATGCAGTCCTACAGCACCACACCAGGACTCACTCTCTCTCTGTGGATATAGATTTCCAGTTTGATAAAACTTAGGGATAATTAAATTTTAAACATCAGAAACATCCACTAGAGAATTAAGTAGCAATTGCTACATGGAAAAGGGGTTCTGAGAACAAAGATTATGGAACAAAGCAAGCTACGTGGAAGGAGAACTTGAAATGCCTTGAATTGGTCTGAAAAGATGATGGAGGGAAGGATGTTGAGCCTGGAGAGGGCAGAGAGGTAGCAATTTACATGGACTGCACGATATGGCACTGTAGGATGAAGCACTAGACCACAAGTTTGGTTTGAACCCTAAGGTTGGCCAACTGAAATTCATCACCTGCTCCTCAGAAACTCTATACAGGGTCGCTTTGAGTTGGAACCATCTTGATGGCACTTAACAACATTAAGGGGAAAGGAAAACTAGTTTGGCTGCTACTGAAGAGTTCTTAGAAACAGAGAGAAATAAGATTGCCTTTACAATATACAATAAGGAGCTCTGGTAGCGTAGTGGTTACGAATCGGGCTGCGAACCTTAAGGTCAGCGGTTTGAAACTTCCAGCCGCTACGCGGGAGAAAGATGAGGCTTTCTACTCCCGTAAAGATTTACACCCTCGGAAACCCTGTACAAGGTCGCTATGGGTCGGAACCGACTCAACGGCACTTAACAACAACAACAACAACAATATATGTGGTAAGCAAAATTATTATGTCCTAACCCCTACAACCTGTGAATTTCTTCTCTTTATGTGGCAAAAGACACATACACAATCATATTCAAAGGCAATGAATGAAAGAAAATATAGAAATTATATTTTTGTTGTTTTTCAGTGCCATCAAGTCAGTACCCAAGCACAGCACCTCTGTAGAGGATCTCCGAGGAGCAACCGGTGGGTTTGAATTGCCCACCTTGTGGTTAACAGTCTAGCACTTCTCCTGCAGCATCACACCAGAAGAGTAAAAATATATATCGATAAAAACTCTCTGTAAGGTTCAACTATACAATAAAATATAATAATAATAAATTGAAAGGAGAAAAATAATGCATACTAAGGAAGGGAAAACTAATTTTTTGATGAAAAAAAAACAAAACAAAACAACCCAGAATGGAAAGGATAAATGGCTAAAATATTGTTTTGATATTTTAATATCAAATCAACGATTATAAAAGTCTTGGAGAAATAATCATCATCAAGGTCTTTCTTCAGATAACCAGGTAAACATCTATACCAGAGTTTATTAATAACCACTTAGACACCACTATGCAAAAGACTGGATACTATATCCTAACTAAAAAGTACTCAACAAGGCAATTTTTTATCTCTATGTACCTGTAAAAATGTTTCAAATATTTTAACACAGCTGCTAAATTATATGCATAAATGACAGATTTGAGAATCTTATAACTCTGATATGTCTGATCACACAATCATAAAAATAACAAACTATTAACAAAATGTATAAAGAGAAGAATGAATACTAAAAAAAATGAAATTTTTTTTTTCTCCTCCTGAATACCTAAGAACTGCGTATAATTATTGAAGAGAGAGTCTTCTGCAATAGAATATGAACTGTATTAGAACACTGTATAGGATGAATATCCTATCTTACACTCGTAAGAATCACCAGCAGCCTCTTGCTCAGAGTGGGCCTAATTGGCAGTCACCCAGCTGTGCCTCACGTGAAGCTGGTCCCTGAGTACCTGGAGAGAACAGCTGGGCTGTGTTGGGGTCATGGAGTGCTGAGTGCTGAGTGCTGACCTGGGAGGTTATAAAGAAGGTTTTCATATGACAGCCTGCCAAATCTAGACACTGGTCAACAGAAGCTGGGCGTGAAGGTGGAATACTGGCTTAAATCTCATTGCAAGGACTTGGTTTCATCAGGTTTCCAGCAGACACCTCCCTAGAATCTACATTTTCACCCCAAACAAACCACATGAAAGAAATGACACTCAGAACACCCAGGACTTTCTCTTTGAGGTCCTGGGTTTGTGGTCTGGTTTGCCAGGCTTCAGCTGCAACAGCAGCTGGGGCAGGGGTAGGAGGGGAAGGACCTATACTCATCTGGATTGTTGCTTTTGGAAGTAAATCTGGACTTAACAAAATTTTATTGAAGAATTGGATATAAATTCTAGTCTTACTGAAACGTGTAAATAACTTAGGAGTCCCCTTAAAAAGAAAACATTTACGTAATTCTCCATTCTCCTGAGTAGAAAATGTAAAAATTTAATGAAAAATAAATGCTAAAGACTATTTAATACAGACTAAGCACACTATCATATATATGCACTGAAATTTTCCAGAAAATTTAAGAGGGCTTTAATCAAATTAGAAGAACAGACAATCTTTCTTAATCTACTGCTACAGATTGAATTGCATATTCTACAAAAACCAATGCTGTAAGTCTTAAACTCCATGACTGTGGATATCCTTCCATTTAGGAATGGGTTTCTTTTTATATTAATGAGACAAGATTAGTGTAGGATGTGTTTTAAGTAAGTCTCTTTTGAGATATAAAAGAAATTAAACAAGCAAACAAGAGATGCAGAGATGGGGGAAAGAGATGCCATGCCACATGAAGATCCCCCAATAGTAGAAGTTCAGAAATAAGGACCTTCTTCTAGAGCTAAGAGAGGGGAAAAGCCTTCCCCTAGAATCAGTACCCTGAATTCACACTTCTCATCTCCCAAACAGTGAGAAAATATTTTTTGTTTGCTAATGTCACCCACTATGGTATTTTTGTTACTGTGCACTAAAAAACTAAGACATTTACTCAACATACTTGGTATCTTTCCATTTTATTTCTTACCTCATAAAGGAAGTGAAATAATTATGTTAGACATATATGGTATGTAAAAGGGGAAAAGTTGTAAAACTGCATTGATTTATACATGATTTTTCTGGGTAATTTCATTATGTAATTCTAGTTATTCAGATGTTGTTATGAGGCATTGCTGGGTCACTTCCGAATCATAGCGACCCTATGGACAACAGAATGATCTTGTGCCATCCTCACAACTGGTGTTATTTTTGAACCCAATGTTATACCCATTATGCCAATCTACCTCACTGAGGGTGTACCGCTTGTAATCCACTGACCCATTGCCAAGTATGACATCCTTTTCACGGGACTGGTCCCTCCTGATAGCATGTCCAAATATGTGAGATGAAATCTCCCCATCCTCACTTTCAAGGAGCATTTCATCTATTCTTTTTCCAAGACAGATTTTATTGGTTCTTTTGGCAGTCCATGGTATATTCAATATTCGTCACCAACACCATAATTCAAAGGCAACAATTCTCTGTTTTTGTTGACTCATTGTCCAGCTTCCACATGCAAATGAGACAAATGAAAATACCATAGTTTGGGTCTGGCACACCTTAGTACTTAAAGTGACATCTTTGTTCTACAACACTTTAAAGAGATCTTTTGCAGCAGATTTGCCCAATGCAATATGGCATTTCATTACTTGACTACTTCGTCTATGAACACTGGTTATGGATCCAAGTAAAATGAAGTCCTTGACAACTTCAACCTTTTATCCATTCCTTATGATGTTGCTTACGGGTCCAGTTGTGAGGACTTTTGTTTTCTTCATGTTGTAATCCCTACTAAAATCTGTTGTCTTTAGATAAGTACCCTAATAATAATAAAAGTGTAATCCCTACTAAAATCTGTTGTCTTTATATAAGTACCCCAATAATAATTCATAAACTGTAAAAAATTAAATTGTAGTAGAAAATGAAATACATTTACTATTCTACTCACTATTTCTTTATAAACACTCAGCTTTTTCCTTTTGCATTCCTTTTACTTTTATCTACAATGATTAATTAAAATAATCTTAGAACTAAAACACTAATCTTGTGAAAGTTATCCTTTACTCTCCAAAAAGAGGCTATGAGTCTCCTTTTAAACGTTTTTCCCAAACAGTCTTTGAACACACATGTATGTGTATATTATCTTTTTCAGTTGGGTTTAGCGCAGTGGTTACGAACCGGGCTGCTACCCTCAGGGTCAGCAGTTCGAAACTACCAGCTGTCCCGCAGGAGAAAGAGGAGGCTTTCTGCTCCCATAAAGATTTACAGCCTCGGAAACCCTGTGTACAGGGTCACTATGAGTTGGAACCGACTCCACGGCACATAACAACAACAAAGTTGGGTTTGATAAATCTCTTCCTGTAAATTGATCATTCACTTTTTTTTTTTTTTTGCAAAAAACACTAGATGTAATTCACAGATAAAACAGTAAGACCTGGTCTTCTGGTCCTTTTGGAACCTATAACACCCAATGCACAGTAGACAGCAAAGAGCCTACAGTCTCACATCTAGCATAAACCAGAAAGCGTACCTTTAAAAGGAGAATTTTAAAAACAAAATTACCTACATGATAAAAAAAAAAAACCTATACTGTGGCACTGTGGGGGATAATGCACTAGACCATAATGTTGAACTGCAAGGACGGCGGTTCAAACTCACCAGCCGCTCCTCAGAAACTTTATAAAGGGTTGCAACCAACTCAACGCCATTTAACATACTGATCAAAGAAATTTCAAAGGACAACAGAAAGCAGTCTTAATGTTATATTTGTTACTACACAGTGAAAAAGGAGGGAAAAAAGTTACCTTTTTGTGCAGGGCATGGAATTCGCTGTACCTCTTTTCAACAAAATGTTTCCTTCCATTCATTAACACTTCTATCTTAAACACCTAAGGAAAGAAATTTAAAAGATTAATTCCACCAGTTCAAAACCCTCAATTATCTGATGGGGTAAGTTTGTGACCATGATATATTTCATCCCTTTAATTACAGTAGCTGATCCCCCAAAACCCAGAAGACTCAGGAGACCCTAGGCCAACAGGCCTGATTAATGAGCACTCGAATCAAATGCTCACTAATAAACTACAGTATTCTCAGCAGTGTGTCAAAGAGCAATGGAAACTTAAACACACTAGAACGCTCCTTAATTTTTAACCACAGAATATTCCTCGTCACTTAAAAGTGGTACTTCATCTAATGCACATGGTGGTACTGCACTAAAAATGTGACAAGATAGACACTTTGGTAAAAACCTCAGGCACGTTGGTATCCCACATGGTTAGTATTTCAATGACAGCAGTACTGTGTCATCTGTAAGATAATCGTGTAAACAGTAGTACATTTTAGGTTAATTTCTTCCTAACCTGCATATTCATCTCTAGTCTCAGCTGGGCTTATTCTGCTGTTTGCAAAACAGGGAAAAGTAGTAAGGGTTCATTTTCCCTGCCTGATACGAGTGACAGCTTGTGCTCCCACCTCCAGAAGGTTGAAAGGCCAGTTGAAAAGGCTCTCTGCGTGCACTAATTAGTAGGCACTAACAAGACATTTTCTTGATTTTTAGGTCAGTGGGTCAAGACTGGGAACAAGGGATGAGAAATATTGAGAAATGCTGGTGAAAATCAGCACAATGTTAAGGTGAGGTGGGGGAGGAAGGCTTGGCAGGAACTAGAAGGTGCAGTTAATACGAAGATTTACCATTTGACTCCAGTTTTGCTGAGTAAGAGTTTGTAAGACACCTGGATGAAGAAAGCCCAATTTCTTGGTTCTATTTCTCTTCTGAATAAAAACGAAAGTTGTAGTTAGATGATACTGAAGAAAGTGGAACTTATACTTATTCTAGCCCTAAAATTGTTGTTGCATTGTGCCATCACAGCTGACTCACAGCGACCCTGTATAGGAATTGCGAGGAGCACTTAGTGAGCTTTAACTGCCAACCTTGCAATTCAAATGGCTTTGCAGTCTGGCACATTAACCCACAGCGCCACACCAGGGCTCCCATGTTACCTTAGAAAGCCATATATATATCATCAAATATAAAATGCGTCTGCATTTTTGTGCTTTTTAAGCCAGAAATAAAATCTTCTGCTGCCCTGACTTCATTTAAGAAGACACCTGCTTCCATTAAATAAGTGGTCAATTGTTACCAATTTAACGAATATTAAAAGCATTCCATTCCCCCCCTCCCCCCGCACACACACACACAAAAAAGCCTCCTCAATAAATTATTTTCTCTGGTGAAGTAATAAGCACTTTCTTCTAAAAACTCGGGTATTTGCTACAAACTCTGATATATGTACATTATTTTTTAGAAAAAAAATTCTGTTTATTAACTCACCAAAAAAATTCTTCAAAGACTCTGCCAGAAATAGAGCCAAGAAAACACTTTGAGAAACACAACCAAGAAAAACGCAGCTTCGGGTTGGAAGTTTCATCAGTAGGATCCAGAGGGCCCGGTTTAGTACAGGTCCCAGATTTAAACCCGGACAATATGGTGACAATGCAGTTAGCTACACAACAACAACCATCTGTGGAGCTGTAGGAAATAAATGACTTCTCCTCACAAAAAACCACCACCTTAACTGTCATGTTTGCTGCTGAATCCATTGAAAAGGGAGAAGGTCCACTTACTGGGTGACCCTCTTGAAGACCATGATTAAGACACACTACACAGCAGTTGCCTTGTGGAATGTCATCCTTTCAATTGACCAAACACAGATCCATTACCAAGTTCAACAGTGACTTTTTATAAGCACTAAATAAGCCTAAAGGAGCTCTGATAGCGTAGTGGTTATGAATTGGGCTGTGACTGCAGGGTCAGCAGTTCGAAACTACCAGCTGTTCCGCAGGAGAAAGATGAGGCTTTCTGCTCCCATAAAGATTTACAGCCTCGTAAACCCTGTCCAGTGTTGCTATGAGTTGGAACCTACTCCACGGCACATAACAACAACAAATACGCCTAAGGAGCTCTGGTAGTATAGTGGTTATGAGTTGGGCTAACTAACCTCAAGATCAGCAGTTTGAAACTATTGCAAGGGTGAAAGATGAGGCTTTCTACTCCCATAAAGATTTACAGCCTCAGAAAGCCTAGACAGGGTCATTATGAGTTGGAACCAACTCCATAGCATATAAATCCCACCAAATAAGCCTAAGCCTGGTATGGCACCATAGGATGAGCACTTAACCTCAAGTCAGTTTGAACCATAAGGTATATGGTTCAAACTCAACAGCCACTCCTCAGAAAACCTATACTGATCGCTATGAGTCAGAACTGACTCACCATCACTTACCAACAACATCCTTAGAAGGAGGCCTGGTGTGGCACTGTGGGATACAGAACTGGACCACAAGGTTTGTTTGAACCACAAGGTCAGTGGTTTAAACTTACTAGCTGCTCATTAGAAACCCTACACAGGGTCACTATTAGTAGGCACTGCCTAGAAGGCACTTAAAACAGCAATGTATGTGTGAAGGCTGGACAATAAATATGAAAGACCAAGCAAGAATTAATGCATTTGAATTTTGATGTTGGTCAAAAATATTAAATATATATCCCATGACTACCAGAAGAACCAACAAATCTGTCTTGACATAAGTGTTACCAGAATGCTTCTTAGAAGAAAGAAAGGCAAACTTCTCAAGCACGTTAGACATGTTGCCAGGAGGGACGAGTCCCAGGAGAAGGACATCATACTTGGTAGACGATCAGTGAAAAAAGCGTAAGACCCCGAACTAACTCAAACATAGCAGCAACAGGAAGATTTTGCTCTATTATACATGGAGGCTTTCTTCTCCCACAAAGATTTACAGCCTCAGAAACCCTAGACAAAGTCGCTATGTGTGGGAACTTACTCAACAGCACTTAACAACAGTAACATGGGGTCCCTATGATTTGAAATGGACTCCGTGGCACCTAAAAACAACAAGGGCAACAATGAACCCAGGAGCTGTTCTAGGTTCTAAGAGTTTTGCAGTGAATAAAACAGATAAGAAGTCAACCTTTGAGAACAAACAAGATGGTGGATCAAGTAGACATGCATTGAGGAGCTCCATCAGTAACAACACAGAAACTGGACCAAGAAGGCTCAGGGGATGGTGCCAGAACTCTGAACCACATATAAAGGAATATTTATAAGGTTGGAAGGCTTACAGCCAGGGGAATTTGTAGCAGAAGCAAGAAATCCATTGTTTCCTAATTCAAAATGCTCAGCTGCTCCCGGAGCTGCCATCTTGGGGGAGACCAAGCAGGGGAAGGATCAGAACAGCCATAGATGTCTGACAGACTGTGGAGATAAAGGTGTGGACATTTGGGTTTTTTGTATCTGTTCATTGGTCTCTCACCTCCATTCTGATAACTAGAGGGAGTGCTGGAGTGAGTGGACACTCTACCCCCAACCCCAGAGGGTTCTACTACACATGCACAGTGATCTCCTAGAAATTTAAAGTGACAGTTTCCACTTAAAACCAAATGGCAAAAAATAAAAATAAAATAAAAAACCAAATGGCACCATCAAGGGAATAGAGTTGAGTGTGGGACTCTACTCAGAGAAACACTGACATCAGAGATGGAGACAGACGATGATGTGGCAAGAAGGAGTGGCTTGGAACTCTAGACCCAGAGAGGGAAATGTGCTTTGTGTTAACGACCAAGGGGAAGGCTTGCAGGGTGTACCCTTTGGTTGGTTGATGATGCATGGAGTATATTGTAGCCATGGCAATGTAATGATATACAATAGGATAAATGTAAAGTTAGTGTTCCATGTAAACAATCACATAATTCACAATAAAAGTTTAAAAAACAAACAAACAAACAAAAACAACCAAATGGCAGTGCAAAACAGCCACAGCTGGCACTGAACTGCTTATCACTAGGAATATGACCTGAATGGGGATTGTGGAGCAGGACAAGCAGACTAAAAAGGAAATAGGTGAAAATTAAATCCTGAGCTACTTCACAATGACCAACAGTGGCATCTTGAAATTTCTCAGGAAGAAGAATGAAAAGGGAAGTCCATCTCCTGATCACACCTACCCAGAAACAATCAGAAATACCAAAATACACACCCATCAAAATATTAAGGCCACAGATAA